GGCCCTCACGGGCGAGGCGGGCGGCGAGGAGGCGGCGGGCGAGGAGCGCCGCATGGCCGAGCTCACCACCGTGCGCGGCGACGGCGGCGCCTTCTCGGACAGCGACGACGGCGACGACGGCCCCGGCACCGACACCGAGGCGGTACCGGCACCGGCGGCATCGCGCGCCGAGGAGGCCGCCCGCGGCGGCGCCGGCGCCCTTCCCGTGCCCGGCAAGGGGAAGCCGTTCCGCTGCAAGCCGTGCCAGTACGAGGCGGCGTGCGAGGAGCAGTTCGTGCACCACATCCGCGTGCACAGCGCCAAGAAGTTCTTCGTGGAGGAGAGCGCCGAGCGGCAGGCGCGCCGCAAGGAGCCCGACACCGCCACCAACACCAGCAACGCCGGCGAGGACGTGGACTTCTCCAAGGGGCCCATCCGCTGCGAGCGCTGCGGCTACAACACCAACCGCTACGACCACTACCTGGCGCACCTGAAGCACCACAGCCAGGCGGGCGGCAGCGAGCGCGTCTACAAGTGCTCCATCTGCACCTACACCACCGTCAGCGAGTACCACTGGAAGAAGCACCTGCGCAACCACTTCCCCCGCAAGGTCTACACCTGCTCCCAGTGCTCCTACTTCTCCGACAGGAAGAACAACTACATCCAGCACATCCGCACGCACACAGGTGGGAGCCCCCACTGCCCTCCGGCTCCGTGCCGGTGGGATTGGGGGTGACAGGAGATGGGGGCGGCGCGAGGGAGCGGCCCCAGGGCTCCGCCGGCGCTGCAGCCGCTCTGCGGAGCGGCCCAAAACGCCTTGGAAACACCCAGCAGGAGTTCAGCGGTTGAGGATTTCTGCAGGCACTTAGCGTAGCACGAAGGGAGTTAACMAAAAAAAAGGCGTTTTGGGGGAAGTTTTCTCCCTTTTCCTTCTTTTTTCSCTTTATCCTGTTGGAATCTCCGTGTGCGGAGGGTGTTTGTGTGGAAGGGGCGTGCGGGAGTCCCATGGGCTGCCCTGGCCCCGCAGCCGGCACTACATTCCCGCTCCCCTTGACTTCCCATAGAGCCAATGTCCACGAGTGCYGCCTGGCAGGTCAGGCACAGCCGGGGCCAGGGACCCAGAGCAGCCGGGAGATCCCGACCGGAGATTCCCGCCCTTGGGCCACCTGTTTTCGGCTCCTAAAGAGCCATTTAGAAGCAGCCCCCGGTGCCTCCGGGTCCCCTTGCAGCCGCCGAGGGGGTTGCACCCRCCCGGTGTTCCCGGAGAGCGCCGGGATGATGGGAAGGGTGGGATGGGGGCGCATGACCAAGGCCCAGCCACCTCCGGAGCTCATGGACATGGTGTCGTGTTGGGATGGACACCCCGGGCGGCCCCACAGGCGCCAGCCCTGCAACCCGCCCTGCCCCGGGGCTCGTCGTGGCCTTGGGCCATTCCGAATATCCGTGTCCTGGTGGATKCATCCCCTTCCTCCCGGAAACCTGCGTGGTGGCGGGTCGGGTTCCTGCAAATCCCCCACGCAGGAMCTGGGCAGTGGGGCAGGGGCCTCCTCAAACGCTGCTGCTGCTGCCCCTTTGCTGGCAGGCGGTTTTGCCACGCTGGACATCGCGCTTTCCCACACTCCAGCCCACGCTCCCTGTGCCCGTAAAACTCGGGAAGGGAAGCGCCAGCCCCGGTGCGCACCGGCCGCTTCCCTACTTCCCAGCACAGAGCCTCCCACCAGGCGGGAGCCTCCCGATCAACCCAGGAGAGGCGGCCGGTGCCTGCGGAGTGGCCCCACGTTCCCGTGCTCCCCGTGCTTCCCACGCTCCGTGCGTTCCCACGTTCCCGTGCTCCCCACATTCCCCGCGTTCCCGCGCTCACGGCCGCGTGTTCTGCAGGAGAGCGGCCCTACCAGTGCGCCGTGTGCCCCTACTCCAGCTCGCAGAAGACCCACCTCACGCGGCACATGCGCACGCACTCAGGTGGGTTCCGCACCGCGCCGGGGAGCGGGAGTGGGAATGGGAACGGGAACGGGCGTGTCCCGGGCAGCGGGGCCGCCCCACGGCAGCCTCTGCCCGCCGTGACCTGTTCTCCGTTGGTTTCTGCTCGCGCCCCGGCCCGGGCGAGCGGCACTGGCTCCCGTTCCCGCAGCCGAGGCTTTAGGCCGGGATCGGAGGCTGCTCCTAAGGGCCGTGGCGGGCGCCACCGCCGCCGGCTCCAGAGCCGCTTCCCGCCGGGAGCGCCGGGYGTGGCCGGGCTCTCTGGGCGCGCGCGGGTGAAACTGCAATTTATCCAATGTCCATTTCCGTTTCTCTGCAATGCATTCAATGGACCAGTGGGGTATGGATCCCATTTGCTAATATTACTGTAGCGAGCAGCCGGCGGGTACGTATGCACAGCCAGACCCCGTGACGTTGCTCCCGCCTGTCTGGTTGCGGATCCCCCCCCTCCCAGCCCTGCCCTCTCCTCTTTTATTCCTTATTTTTTTTTGGTTTTGGTAACGTTTTTGTTGTGTCTCGTGGACGTGTTTGTGACTTGTGGCCTCCTCATTTTGCCTCTGCTTAATTTGAAAGGCGCATGGAGAAACTCTCCCTTCCTCTTCCTTTCCATCCGCTTCCCCCCTCCTCTCCGTGTCCCTCTTCCCGGGAAGGAATTATTTCCGTGCTCCGTAATGACCATCTCTCCCCCCACCATCCCCGTCCCCTTCCTCCCGCAGGCGAGAAGCCCTTCAAGTGCGACCAGTGCAGCTACGTGGCCTCCAACCAGCACGAGGTGACGCGGCACGCGCGGCAGGTCCACAACGGGCCCAAGCCGCTCACGTGCCCGCACTGCGACTACAAGACGGCCGACCGCAGCAACTTCAAGAAGCACGTGGAGCTGCACGTCAACCCGCGCCAGTTCCTCTGCCCCGCGTGCGACTACGCCGCCTCCAAGAAGTGCAACCTGCAGTACCACATCAAGTCGCGGCACCCCGACTGCTCCGACATCACCATGGACGTGTCCAAGGTGAAGCTGCGGACTAAAAAGAGCGAGGCCGAGCCCGCCGAGGCCGACAAGGAGCAGCCGCGGGGGGACGCGGGCAGGAAGGGCGAGCGGGCGGTGAAGGCGGAGAGGAAGGAGGCGCCCAGCAAGGAGAGGAAGGCGGCGGGCGGCACCGGCCAGGTGACCACCCGGAGTCGGAGATCGGCCGCGGAGAACAAGGAGGCGGAGGGCAAAGCCGAGAGGGGCACCGAGAAACCCGGCAGGGCGAAGAAGAGCAAGAGGAAGGCCGAGGCCGCTGGCTCCAGGGAGGAGCCTTCACATGAGGATGCGCCAGCGGTGACGAAGAAGAAAAAGAAAGTGGAAGCCAAGGGCAGAGAGGGCCGGGAGGCTCCGGGGAGCGATGCCCTTGCGGAGGAGGAGGAGCCGCCGAAGCCAAACTCATGCCCCAAGAGGAGCAGGAAGAAGAAAGCTCCCAAGAGCAAGCACGGCAAGAGGAGCAGCAGGGCTGGCGCCGAGAAGCTCGAGGAGGAGCAGGACCGTGCAGAGGCTCCCAGCGCCGTGGAGGATGCGCACGGGGAGCCAGGCACTCCCCAGGACAGCAGCCCGGAGCAGGAGCTGGAACAGGAGCGGGACCAGGAGCAGGAGCTGGAACAGGAGCAGGAGCTGCAGCAGGAGCTGGAGCTGCAGCAGGAGGAGAAGCTTGAGCAGAAGCTTGAGCAGGAACTGGAACAGGAGCATGAGCTGAAGCAGGAGCAGGAGCTTGAGCAGCAGGAGCCAGTGCTTGAGCTGGAGCAGGAGCTTGAGCAGGAGGAGCCAGAGCTTGAACAGGAGCCGGAGCAGGAACTGGAGCGGGAGCCGGAGCAGCAGCCAGAGCCAGAACAGGAGCAGGAGCCGGAGGCGGCAGTGGCCACCGCGGGGCCGAGCGGTGCTGCGTGCGGGAGCCGCGTGCAGGACCCTGCGCTGCAGGAGCCGCCGYGCACGGAGCCGGCAGAGCAGGAGGCTCCCGCGGCAGCAGGGGATGGAGGAGACGGCGCCGCGGAGGAGCGGGAGGCCGCGGAAGCCCCCGGTGCCGCGTGCCCCACGCCGGATCCCCCGGCGGCGCCCGGCTCGCCCTGCACCGCCCGCCCGGCCGCCGGCGACCCGCACGAGGTGGACGAGGACGAGGGCATCCACAGCCACGAGGGCAGCGACATCAGCGACAACATCTCCGAGGGGAGCGACGACTCGGGCCTCAACGGCGCCCGCTCGGCGCCCGAGGACGCGGGGCCCAAGGGGCCACCGGGCGCCGGCGCCGCCGCGGGGACCTTCGTGTGCATCTTCTGCGACCGCGGCTTCGGGCGCGAGGGCGAGTACAGCAAGCACCTCAACCGCCACCTCGTCAACGTCTACTACCTGGAGAAGGCCACCCAGGGGCAGGAGTAGCGGCCGCCGCCGTCTCCAGCGCCATGGACGTACAGCTCGTGTACACACACTGTAAAGTTTTGTTATTTTTCTTTTTTAGCACCATTTGCTTTAATTAGTATATATTTTTTTTCCCTTTTTCTGGAGTTGAAAATATTTTTGGGCTGAGTCTGTACGGTGAGCGCAGCCACCGGAGCTCCCGTTGGAGGAGGCAGGAGGGCTGGCGCCGCGGCCGCCTGTGCGGTCCCTGCAAGCACCAGACCCTGCACCAGTGTCCCATAGCCGGGGCTACGGCTTCCCGGGAGCCAGCGGGACGTTCCCAGCGCCGTCCACGTCGCTGCTTTCTGCCCTCGCAGCCCGTTGCCCCTCTCTTAGTTCTTCACGTGGTCGCRGTGCTCCGAGCGTCGACCTCCCCCAAGTTTTGGGGCTCTGTTTTCCTGCTCCGGAGGGGAGGAGGGTTCCTGTTGCATGGAGGAGCACTTTGTAAAACAAATCCAAGGTGGCTGGCAGCGAACRTGACTCTTGGAGAGAATTGTGATTGTGAACATACATTTCAGACCCCCCCTAAGCACGGACCGTGGGCCAAAATCCGGAGCAGTCCTTCCTGCTTTAGACTGGAGAACCTCTGTCTCGTTGGATATCTTAATAACTATGATGTATAATTGGCTTTGTTTTGGGGAGCAGGTTTGCTCCTCTTTATTTTCTACTCTTGGGTTTTTTTTTTTGATTGTGCTTTAAGGGCTTGAGATATTGCACATTACGTTGTTGATCTTTACCTATGCAGTTGAATCCTGTAGGAGTAGCGCTTGTGCAGGACGCGAACACTTTATACTTGCATGTTGGGTGTGGGTGGTGTGAGCCCCGCTTTCCTCGGGAGCCCTCTGGATCCGCTGCCTCCCGCGGGCCCCTTTCCTGCGAGATTTGCCTGCCGCTCTCCCTGTTTCCCGGGGTGTCTTTAGCTGTGCGTGAAATTGCTGAACTGTTTGGTTGTGTATTTTTGACTAGCTTTAAAATTGTATAGTTCTTGGGTAAAAGTTACCAATGCAAGTTCAGAACACTATTTTGGATTGCAGCCTGCCATTTTCCTGGGTTTTATCCCTTGGAAATGTCACTTGTGATTTTTTTTTTTGTTTGTTTTCTTTTTTAATATGTATACAGGATATTAATGATAATTTATAATTTGGGATCACCGGGAAGCAGAGCGACGGCTCTCATGGCTCAGGTGCCACAGGCTCTGCAGGGCCGGGGGATTCCAGCCCCTTCCCATCTCCGTGGTGGGCACCAGTCAAACTTCCCAGGCTGGAAAACGAGCAGAGCGGTAGCGCCGGGGTACATTGGCCTGGTGCATTGGTACCGAGCGGCTTGCGCACGGATAAATCCAGAGAAAATAAGGAAAAAGGTAAAAGGACCGGTAAGCAAGGAAGCTGGCGCCGAGCCCTGCGGGGCGCCCTGCTCCTCATCCCGTGAGGTGGCCCGGGATGGTCTCGCTTCCCCACGGACGCGGGRCCTCCCCCTTGGCCAGGCCAGAGCGTCCGACCCTTACCGTGGCTGCGACAATCATCGGCAACTGGAGATCGGGTTGCGACTCTATTTATAATGCCGAACGTTGAGAAAGTGAGCGTGGCTTGGATTGTGTCCCCTGCCCCGAACAACTCGGAGAGCGAGGAGCGGGGCTGGGGGTCCCGCGCGGCACGCAGCRACCCCTCTCCTTGCTGCCTCCAGGCCCCACACGTGTCAGCAGGGCCGGGTAAGGCAGCAACGTGGGTACCCAGCAGCGTCCAGCCTGGCTCCCGTTGAGTGTTCGACGTGGGGTGTACGGCCTGGGGAACCCCTGGAGTGGGGCGGCCCCCTGGAGCAGCGATTCCCACCCCCAACACCATTAACTTGCTCTGTGCGGGCTGTGCCGTTCGCCCGGCGTTGAGGTCGGAGCCGTGCGGCTCGGTGGGACCCCACGACGCTGCTCCGGAGCCAGGAGCAGCCTTCGTCCCTGCTGAGATGCGACCCAGCCCGGGAGGGACCGGGACGGGCAGCCGGCGGGGAAGAATTCATCCCCCCGCAACTGCTATTGCTGGATTTCAAACATCCAGGCTGGAATTCCCAGGCATCTAACAGAAAGAGCAATGTTTAACTGAGAGGCCAGTTAAGATGTGGTAACGTCATTGATTTCAACAGACTTAACGTAGCCGAGGAGCGTGGAGCGGGTCCAAGCGTTGCCTTGGACGGCGGCTGTGCGGATACGGGGCGCGCGCCGGCAGTGCCGGRATGCGGGGCGCTGCGGGAGGCGCTCGGCGTGGGTATGTGTGTCCCTCCGGAGCGCCGCACGCCTCCGTAGGCTGGCACCGACACGTGATGTTGGGTTGCACCATGTTTGATGCTTTTACAGTGCAATACTTGTATTCTCGGAAATAAACCAAAGGTAATTTCTTTTTTTTTTTTCCCCCCCTCATGCTCTTTCTCTCCTGTAGCGCGCGTGGCAGCCTTTTCTACATTTGTAATAGATGTTAAACCAAGCCAGATCGTACAGCCTGTTTTTACCTAAAACCTGTATAAGCCTTCTGTCCAAAACGTAGTGTAAAGTTAAACTAAGTCGCATTATGTTAACCCTTACACGTGTATTTTCCTAGTTCTGATTAAATAAACTTTATTAAGGAACGCGTGGCTCCCCACTGTGCTCTCCTCCTTGGGCAGCAGCGCTGTGTGGAGCGCGGGGCACCCGGGATCACATCCCAGCAGGAGCGAGGCTGGAGACGCCGGCTGCCGGGAGAGGAGCTCGGGGTCAGCGCGGGCTGCGAGGGCAGGACACGCTCCTGCTTTCCCTTTTCCTCCTTCCTCAAGGCCAGGGCTGGCTGCAGCATCGTGAAGGACCGGGGCAGGTCTCAGCTGCGGCCGCCCCTGCTCTGCGTTGTCCTTCCCAGGCATCCCRGTTGGCCCACGCGGAGCTGCAGCCCCAGCGCACAAAGAGGCGGCGTCGAGTGGCCGGCGCGGGACCAGCCACACCAGCGATGGAGGGAGGAGACCAGGGAGCAGCTGTCCCGGAGAGCTTTTATTAGCTGCCCAGCTTCAGAAACGCTCGCAGAGCTACAGCCACGACCCGACACGGCGCTCGCAGGAGCTTCCTCTGCCCACGCGTGAGCAGCCCCGTGAGCTCCCCGTCACCGTCCCCATCCCCAGAGCGGCGCCGCATTCTCCCCAGGCGCTGGAGGTCTGGAAGGAGCCGAGCTCAGGTCAGTCTGTGACACAYGGAAATGGTGGCGCTGCTGACAGCCAGGAGGCCGGGCCGGGTGAGACCGTTTCTAACCGCAGCAGCAGATGTGCAAGGCCCTGCTCTACGTGCCGGGGCAGGCAACAAAATTTCCATCCTGCTTTTCCAGGAGGAGGAGGAGGGGAAAAGGGCAACCCTTTGGCACTGCTGCTGCCAGCAAGAAGCCACATTTCACCTCCTACAAGGCACCAACTGTTTGGCGCATCCGAGGTAGCTACAGTTCAGCAGTTAGACCTGGCCTTGCGGGGTCCGGCCTGCTCTCCACAAGGTGCTCGTGTTTCGGAAGGCCTCAGAGCTTTCCTGAGCATCCACCACCAACCAGGTTCTCCAGAGGCTCTTTCACCCGCTTCTCCGGGCTCCCGTTCCTATCTGTTCCCTGAGGCTTTCAGGTTTTCCACCAGGGAAGGCGGCTTCTTGGTCCTGTAGGCAGCAGTGCCTGGGATGCGGGCACCTCTGATGTTGGGGATGTGGGGCAAGAGGGGCGGCTGCCGCAGGGACAGCGCAGCACCCTCGGGCATGTGGGCTCTCAGCAGCAGCTTCTGCTGCGCGTGGGCCGTCACGGCCACCCAACCTGCGGCAAGGAACAGGCAGCGTCAGCAACCGGGGTCCCTCGTTCCCCCGAGGGACCCCCACACCCCTGTGCCTTGGCCGAAAGCCCTCCGGGCTGCCCAGACTCGGTTTGAGAACCCCAGCTGAGAAGGCAGTAAGTGCGGCATGAAGCAGCACCTGGAATTCTTCCTGGTGACCTTGGAGAGACAGCAGGAACCACTAGGGACACAAAGGAGGAGCCTACAGATCTACAGCCCCTTCCCTTCCACTCATGCAAGAGCCTGCACAGAGAGCCGGCGCTTGACCGCAGGCATCCTGCCTGGGCCCGGTCGTGCCCCTCCTGCTGCTCCTGCAGCTGGGTCCCCACAGGCACTCCGACCGCTGCTGACAGCCTCCCAGCAGGCAGGGCTGCAGCCCCCTCCCCACCAGTGTTTCGAGGCTGCAGACCCTGCAAACGGCAGTGAGAAWCCGCTGACTTGCCTGCGGAGGAGAGCTTGATGTCAGCGACGGCCTCGGTTGCACCGATCCCTTCCAGTGTGATGTCCTGGGGCACAAGCCGGGGGAACTCCTTCATCCGCTCCTCCCCGCCCATGGGGACCTAACAGCACAACCGGGAGAAAGGCTTGCACAGCTCCGGGACGCCTCATCTCTCCCCACCCGCACTGCTGGGGAGCTGAAGGTATCGCCCGTCCCTTACTCCCCAAGAGCCGTCTCGGGTGCCCCTAGGAGAGTCACCCCAGGACAGCTAAGAGGACGAGCACAACGGCACCCATCCATGCCCAGCCGGGAGCCTCCCAGTGACAGGGCCTTCCCTGCAGCAGCCGGCACCCCCAGCTGGGCAGGAAAGCCCAAGCCGCAGGGAGCAGAACACCCAGATCCCGCCCAGCGGGACAGCCTGCCCGGAGCACCCGGCCTGCGCCCTCACCTTCATCAGCTCCTTGCCCGCGTACTTCTCGTACACGGCATCTGCTTGGCTCAGCGTGGTCACGTGCACGGGCAACAGGTTCGAGGCCATGACGGTAAACCAGGCGGATTTTTCTCCCTGACACACATCAGAAGAAGAAGGTGCCACTTAGGGTAACAGAAGAGCACCCCGGACTCCTCTCTCACGCTCTGTCTCTGCCCTACGCCGTGGAAACCTGATGGGTTTTCTCCTGCGGGGTCGCTCTCCCCGCCAACAGCCCCTGTCCCGGGCCRGGCGCTGCATCCCTGCGCTGCCAGGACGGCCCTCGGCTGCTCGGCTCTTCCCCATAGCATCCCACCACCCTCACCTTCCTGCTTTCCCTCCAGGAGGAGGCTGAGAGCATCCTCGGCCAAGGACTAATCCAGCATTCCCACAGCGATCCTGGAAACGCAGGGCCTGTCCTGTGGCCCCTGCTCCGTTATAGATCCTCCTTCCCAAAACAGGGCACGCTACTGAGAAGGGCAGCAGCACTGGGCTCAGTAGGAACCACTCCTGGAGGTAGTTCCTATGGGGGCAGCTCCAAACTGCTCAAAGAAGCTTCCTACAGAATTTCCAACACGTGGAAGAAGGTAAAGACCCTTTACAAATACTTTCTTTTCAGCCACTGAAATCCATGTGCATCTTTGGTAAGTTTCTCAGAGAACTCCCTGTTAGGACAAATGCCCCTGTTTTTCTCTCTTGGAAGGGAGCTTCATGAAATAAGGATATCTGGCCAGTGCCAGAGCCTTCAGCTGCAATTCCCCACCCTAACATACCTTTACTTTAYGGGGCGCTTGATCAACAACCTCATCTCATCATCTCAAGAGCAGCAGATAACGGAGGAGGGAGAAGGCCATGGACAGCCTTTCATCATGTGGTACTGAGGGATGGAGGAAAGATTTACAAAACCATTTCTGCCCCTACCTCTAAGTAGTCTATACGTGCCAAGGCTGCCAGGAACAGGACCATTTCTGGCTTGAGGATGAAGGTCCGTGGAACGATGGCCCGCATGGGCAAAACCAGCTTTACTTCCTTGTCTGTCAGAAAATTCAAAAGCTGCAAAAGAAATTGCACAGCTGTGAACTCCTTCCAGATGTCCCAATGGGAATAAGCAATACTTCCTTGAGGGGAAAAAACACCGGAACAGTGTGGAGAACACGGAACGTTGGTCCTCCAGCTCCAGTGGGCATGAGCAGCGATAACTGGACGCGGGAGCCAGGCCCCTCCGGGAGACCAGGGATTGTGGTCCGTGAGCAGCGTGTAGCGATGCAAGCGCCGAGGAGGCGCCTGCTCCCCAGGCTGACAGCACCACCYGGAGTTTCCAAACATGGGGAACGGCAGCGGAAACGGCCCCCCCMGGACGCCCCAGCCCCAGGGGAAGCCAGGCTCGCATGGCAGCCTGGCAGGGAGGACGCAGCCTGTTTCGGCAGCAAGGGACCAAGCTTGGCGGGTCCTGCTGCTGTACTCTCCCCTGGCATCTTTATCTGAAAGGCAGGGAAGCTTCTGCTGTGGATTCTGGAGCACCAGGAAGCTGCCCTACCCCACGCAGGCTTCCTGATGGGACCAGCGATGCCCCCTACAGATGCAGAGCTTCACAAGAGAACACAAGGAAGCAGCGAGACAGTCCACCGAGGAGCTCTCCCACCTCCTCATTCCTTTCAGCTTTCCCAAGAAAGGGCCCTCCAGCTCTGCACAGGAACAGCAGCGCTGATGCATCAACGCTCCCCTCCGAGSCGCTGCTCTAGTGAAGCCCCATGCGGGACCTACGCAATTTTCCCTCATGATCCCTGGRGTGTCGAAGCACCAGCGGGCATCCTTCACTTCGTTGTACGAGAATTCCTCCTTTTCCACCGGCTTCCGCGGGGAATGGCCAGGGTCTTCATCCACGCTGTACGAAAGCAGGTCAGGATCGAAGTCAATGACGGGTGTGGGCTTCGACCGCTGAAAGGTTCTTCCAACTCTCCCTGGATTAAAGCGAAAAGTTGCCTGGTAATTAATCTMATTCGAAAACTTCCCTTGGGTGTTTCACCCTTCCCTGCTTTACGTGCCTAAGAGAAGGGGCATTTTTCAGAGGGTGGAAAGCAACATGCTGGTGGGCAGCACCCTTGCAGTGCCCTAGGCAGGCACGGTGCCTTTTGCCAGACGATACTCACCCACCAGGTAGCCTTCCTTTTTGAGGCGGTTCAGGTACTTGTGCTCTTCATCACTCAGCTGCTCCTCTGTTTTTTCTGCCTCTGCCCTCAGACGCTCCTGTCTGCGGAAGATTCTGTCGCACGTAGGGTTGATGATGGGGAATTTTAGCAGGCCCAGCGTTGTTCCTGGAACAGGAACAAACGGAAAAATGAGGCRTTGGTCTCCCCTGCTACCCATCCCACAGGCTGGCCCGTCGCTGGGCACCCACCTGGCCATGGCGACACGGTGGCGCAGTGCACGACGTCGGGCGCGCGCGACTTGCAGTAGTCGGAGCGCAGCAGCGCGTTGAAGAGCGCCGACTTGCCGGCGTTGGCGGCGCCCAGCAGGTAGACGTCGCCGGCGGCGCGCCACGAGCGCTGCAGCGCGCTCACCAGCCCCTCCACGCCAAAGCCCGTCTTGGCGCTGACGAGGCGCACGGCGGCCAGCGGCGCCCCGCGCAGCCCGGCCCGCGCGCACGCCGCCTGCAC